GAACTCCAACTATGAAACCACTTATGTATGTTTTTGCAGATAGATATATATGGCAATGAATATAGATATATTTGGCAATGGATATGCATACTGTATTTCATTTTATATAGATTTGCTATCTGTAGTGAAGATCATGTGCTATTCTTTGAGCTTCTTTAGAGATTTACTTCAAAACTGCTGTAGAGGCCGTGGCTTTGGTTGGAGTTGACTTGTCGTTTGCTGCTATTTTAAACTCCTTCTGCACCCTCTTACATTTTCTTTTATCATGGTGAGTAAATGGCTGCAGTTGTATGTCCCACCTGCATTGCGCTTATCAGGATGAAACATTGTATAAAGAGTCGTGCAAGCAAGGCTAGAGCTTCCACTGTTGTTTCTGAGGCACAACATGTTTTTAAAAAGAGGAGGTTAATATATAGAAATATTACCATACTAAAAGCTGAAATTGTTTAATCAGGGTGTTGGCCATTGAATGATGACTTGTGAACTGTATGTGCTCTGCTTCTGCATAATCTGTACAGGGATGGGATGAGTCTTTGAAGTCAATATCTGTGTCCTTGTTTTTCTCTGAGGGCCTTTTCTGTTAGAACTGCTTTTGACTGCCAATGTTCCTTTTATACTTATATTGATATCAACCATCACACTTCTTGTGAATTTCAGGAAAAACTGTGATAATATCTAATCAACCATTTTACTATAAGAAAGCGGAGCTTTTTCCAGGCAGTGCTTTTGTAATTGGTGCAGACACAGCAGCAAGACTTATTAATGTATGTTCTCAGCCATCTACTGTAGATTCGTATTATTATTTTAGACAATGGCCCTGCATCAACTGTTCATAGCTTTCATTGGGGTTGATGTTTCTTGACGTAGCATATGGCTCACTTCAATTCATACTGCAGCTTCATGTTACTAGTGGTAAATGGATTGTGAAAATTAAGGAATATGTTTGATTGTCTTTCCACTTTCCAGTATTGTTGAGCAAGGCTATTTTGTTTTCTCAATGCTTTTGCAGTGTTTATGGATTTTGTTGATAATTATGTTGTGCAGCCAAAGTATTACGACGGAGATTATAAGAAGATGCTGCAAATACTTATTGGATGCAAAAGCACTGGATGCACTTTTCTGGTGGGCGGTCGTAATGTAGATGGAGTTTTCAAGGTCTGTCCTATGAGATTCTCGGAAATGTGCCCTTTTTCCATTTCCTTTTCTACCTTCGCTACATCTATTCCTAACTAACCCCAGAAGCTTGATCCATCAAATGCAACACACTGCAGGTTCTTGAGGATTTTGACATTCCGGATGTTTTGAAGGACATGTTCGTATCAATACCTACCAAAATGTTTCGCATGGATATTTCGTCCACTGAAATAAGGCGAAGTCGTGGAGTGTTATGATATTTGGATGGCATAAACAAAGGAATGGCGACTTTGCCTGGAAATTTAATGTTATATCATTAGATATATGTGGATGTGGTTACTCAACTCTTATTTATGCCCATAAAGAGAGGAATTATACCATACCTCTGGTGAAATAAAATTTCTCAAATAAAAACTGCGTGTGTTAGGAGTTGGGGGCAACACGCAGATCATGAAGCGCAGTGCTTATATGTGTCGCTTATCGTTTACTACTTAGTTAACCAAAAAAGAAGAAGAAGAAGACCCAAATATCGGCCCGCACATTTTCAACTTGCCCTTTCTAATCTTGCAGTTGCCGGAATATGATAACTTCTCTTATGCTGTATCTTCCATGTTAATAAATTGGAGTCTTGTTCGAGAGAGAGGTAAAGAGCGTTCTATCTTTGGGGATGAACATTCAGTTTTAACAAGTTGTCGAGGTTATCTACATCGGCATGAAGTGAACTCCCGGAGCATGAACGGATGAACGAAATAGTGGCGACTGTAAAACATATTTGGGGTGCATTACTTGGATACTGTGCTATCAATGTTTACTATGTTTAGTCCTTCAACAACCATGAGCCATGCAGTGAACAGACACCCGGAAGAAGAAAGAAGCTACACTGATTTGGGGTGCATTACTTGAATTAGAAAAGCCATTCTCTCTAAATCAAGGAACAGCTGCTGTAAACATAGCTGAGCCCTTCATATGGGAGTCTTACTCACAATGAACTGATAATCCTATTGATGGCATCTCTAGTCTGGTCAGACACTATAAATACTCGGAAGGGACAGAAAAGAGGGAGAAACTACATTTGACCTGCAAAATGGTGTCTGGTTTCTCATCAACTACCTTTTGAATCGAGAGGCGGCCTCTGAGGAAAATGTCTGATTAGGATTAACCTCCGGGAATGAACCCTTTTGGGACGAGATTGATTGCTGAGCTAGTTCGTGCGGCAGGAGATCGCCGAGCCCTCATCCGCCACAAGCTGCGCCGCAATCGGCGGCGCAGGTGCTTCTGTAAGTGTCCGTGTGGGCGGAGGCGGAGGCCTTGTCTTTGGACATGCCGTCGGCGCACATGAACACGACCACAATGAGCAGCGCAAGGGAGAGCAGGAACGCCGTGACGACGAAAACCGCACCGCTCGATGCTTCGCCTCCGTACCCTCCGGCGATGGCTTCTTTCCATTCCCTCACCATATCTCTCTCTGTCTCTCTGTCTCTCTCTCAGTGACTAGCAATCCTTGAGGAGTAATGAGAAAGCTCTCTTAAGATCTTTCCAAAGGTTTGCCTACCCCTTTTTGGCTCTCTCTTGTTGAATGGTTTTATGAGGTGACTTCGTGTGGATATTTTGGGACGAGATTCCTTTCACCCGATGAAGTCCTTTGGTTGGCCCCCCACCTCAACGACTGGTATGAAGTGGCGCTTTTCCATCCTCCAATCGCCGATACCATCTTTTCTTACGGACATTTATGCTCCGTTTGTTTAGTAAAAAAAAAAATTTTTTTTAAAAATTTTTCTTAAAAATAATCGCTTATATCTCTTACAAAAATGAACGAACGAAAAATATTTACCAGCGATCATTAATAGAAAAACGTTTTTCAAATCATTCGTTTCTCGGAAAATAAATAGAACTTTAAATAGAGTTCAATTTTGACTTCCCGGATTCTCTCTTCTGTTGGCCTATATTTACCTTCTTAACATCTATATTCAAGTCTACTTAATGATGTTTTCCCTCAAGAAGACAAGAGGTGTTAACAATGGAATCTTATCAAAATCTTCGATGTGGGGTGCAACTAATAGGTTATGCAAAGCACGATAATTTCGAAATGCTGCATATTTTTTCCCTATAGTGACATGTTCTAATAATCTTTCTCGGGGTCACATCAAGGGCCAATCGCCCGACAATTACTCGGTTACGGCGGGAGAGTGGGCTTGTTGTAACCCGAATCAGTCGGGTTACTCTAAGCGGCTTGGACACCCGACGTCATAAAATCATAGTAGTTTGAACACAATATTTTCTCTTTGCTTAATAAGAAAGTATCTGAATTCCTCTAAACACATGACTAATTTTTACCTATCCGAAATCATTAGGGGGCAAGACTTTCTCATCTTGGATAATGTAGAGCCTAAGCTTTCGAATTAGAAACTTCTTTCAAAAGGAGCTGCGATGGAAGAGGGTTTGATCGGCGTGGAGTTTTAATAATTATTGTACAGAATGGACTCGACCTGTTCCGTTTGCAAATTTTATATAATTTAGAGTCTTGTTCTTTTGAGTTTGGGAATGTGAAGTCGTGATTAACGGGAGTTAATCAATTGTGGGTGGGATTTCAAGAGAATCTTGGGCATAGATTAGTTTAACTTCACTGCATTTATTGCATTTTTATTTTTATTTTTGATCGTCATTTAAATACACGAGCAATGGTGGGTAACTCCCATCAGATATAGCTATAACTGAACTGTAACTGTGTCATGAAATTACTATAACTTGCATGTTTGATAATGCGTGCTTTTAAACTAAGGGCATCATAAAACTGGCCGGAGAAACTCTATATCGCCCCTTTGAGGCATTTTGATGAACACCATCTTTCCAAGTTGCGGCGCCCCTTCTTTCCACGGCCGAAGCTAGTACCGGTTCATGGCAGTCGCTTCAATGCAAAGTGGGAGCACTCCTTTTGACTAGGAATCTAGGGGGAAGTACCTTTTCCTTTTCGTACCCCGGCAGCATGGGTTTAGGAATTGGAGGAGATGAGATGGTCCAACCTTACCCAACTTCCACCCCCACAAAGCTTTATTTCAAAGCTTTTGAAGAAAGTGGAGAAAGATAAGGGAGCTTTTTGCGCGAGTGGGACATTACAGGCCCAATTGCCATCATGCTGGTGGTCGTGCTTATGGGTCAAAGTAGCCGGCCGTTGTTTTCAATAGTAAACCCCAATTAGCAAAACCCTACGGCGCCTCCAATAGAAGAACAAATGAAATATATAAAATATGAGGGAAAAGTTATTCAATTAGTTTTAAATCTATTGTACGGAAGTCAATTTAATCCTAAACTTTTTGATTATACCAATTTAGTCCTAAACTTTCGCGTGAACTTCCAATGTGAAATCGCTGATGTGGCGATTCAGTCATCACCATCGGTCCTACGTGGCACATGCCACGTCAAATCTCAGGACTTGTTATACTTTCGTGAAAATATTTTAGAACTTGATTGCGCTTTTTGAAAGTTTTAGGATTCAATTGCACTTTTGTGACAAGTTTTATGACTTCATTGCATTTTTTGAAAGTTTTAGGACTCAATTACACTTACGTGACCAGTTTTAGGACTTTATTGTACTTTTTGAAAGTTTTAGAACTCAATTGCACTTTCGTGACAAGTTTTAAAACTTCTAATACACTTATTCCTTAACGTGAGTAGGTTGCGTTTGGTGGATGGTCTTATTTAATTGGAAATTTTTTAAAAATCTCTAATGTTCATAACTCCATATGCCTTTTCTTGGTGAATTTGGAATTCCAAGCACAACACCCCTTTTTTTATTTTCACCCTGTTTTCTTTCCCGCATGCGGGTGCGAAAGCACTTTTTTTTTTTTGGTCAGAAGGAAAGTACATCCTTTAAAAAGCCATCAACTTTAGTATATTCTGGCTCTCAATCACAAGAAAAATCGAAAAAAATTAAAGTTAGAACGACATTCACATTGAATCGAATCGAAGTTCCAATCCAATTTATTCGTCGTGATGACTAAAGTGATATGTACATATATCTTTCCGGACGGAATTTCCGAAGATAATTTTCCCGTGAACTGATTTTTTCGGGGCCATTTTCATGCGAATCTTGTTTTTCTCGTAGGTCCCCTAGGAATTTTGTCGAGGATTTTGGAATCAAATTTCTTGTACAGTTTCTTCACGTCTCTGCTGCTTTTGCCAGCAAGATAATCCACTTCGTTCTCGTATCTCTCGTACAAAGCTGGTAGAGTCTCCATGCAAACGAAAGCTTACCACCAAAAAAAAAAAAAAATTAAACACAAAACGTAAAAGGAACATCAATTAGCATATAAAAATAATTACTAAAAAAATAGAGGAAAAATAATTGTTGCATTGAATTTGGGGGAGCTTACCAAAATATAACAAATTCAATGAGCTTAAGTAGTTGCCAAGGACCGACAGCATCCACAGGAATGCTATTGCCTAAATTTCACGCAGCACAATGATTTAGTCAAATAAATGCAAAATACAAGTAAGGCGGGTCGCAAAATTAATAGGAAAAAAAAGAAATTTTGGGCGACAAAATTCGTACCCCGAAGAACAGCCTCCAATCTTTACCACCTGAAATGTCGTAAACTCTTGAGAGTAGTCTGTCGATCTTTCGAAAAAAGTATCGAGACGTGGCCTCCGACAGCTGAAAGCTATATACATTGGGAGGGTCCCTGAGAAGTGAAGAACGGGTGGACTATTAGAAGGATGAAATAGATAGATAAATCGCGATTTTCACGTAAATCGATTATTGTAAAGCACTAGTAGTTATTGACCTATGGATCAAATCGGCCAAGTTAGACCAAATGAAAATGAAGGTCATCAATGCCAGGATGAGGTGACAGAGGAGGGTGACGAAATGGTACTCCACCACCTCGAAGAGAAACCATATCGCCGTGACCCCGATCAAGATTGCTAGCGACAGTTTCTCGTTCTTCCACAATAGTACGTCCGCGACTTGCGATGGCAAAATCATTCTCGCGAGGTTAGGAAGATTGAACAAGGCCAAAGAGAAAAGGAAATAAAATGGATAGGAGCATCAGTTTACCTTTTCCGCCGCCGAGGATGTTGTGCAGAGGCCTCTGACGGCCTAGCGGGTTCCGCAAGGGCGCGGGGTGGTCGTCGGAATCGGACGAGTATATCGGCATGATTCTGTATATGCACAAGGTGGTTAAGCTAATGTTTGTAGGATATTTCACACGGTACCCTAATTATGCATGGCTTATATAACGGGAAGGTGATTCCAAGCTTAGGTTTCAAGAAACTCATCATGGTACAGAAGAAAGGTATGGCTTCGGGAATGCTGATGATGTAGGAGCTTAGGGGAGGCTTCCTTCACATGCTTATATTTAATCAATATAATCACTTCTTGGGGGATCCAGATAACTCCACCTCTCTGTTGATGCCAAGTGTCCAAAACGGCGTAGATTCTTTGCCTGGGCTCTGAAATTGGACCCTTGCCATTTAGCTTTCTTATACGATACACAGACTTACTAATGGGGTACGGTAGATTTACTTTTCAAGTCACGACACCTCATTTTATAGAGATTGATTGAAACTGTTGAGATGCACGTGTGAACTGTGTTAGAAAAATCCAATATTAAAGAATTGGTGTGGTGTGGTGTGGTGTGGAGTAGTTAATATATCTTAATTGACTCACAACTCCTGGGTTTAAGTTTTTGAGTGGATGTGGGTCCAACGGGATATGTTAATGGCTCGAATTAAGACTCTCTCTTTGCGATCTCCGCAGGCGGGCATTAGAGATTCATGTCGAGACATGTATACGTAGAATGCTATCTGAATTAAGGGGGAGTATACCTAATATTGAATTGACATTATTGTCCTAATTGATTCATAACTGGTTTAAACTTTTAAGTGAATATGGATTTTATTGAATATATTAATGAGTTCTGACTTGGGCTCTTATTGCGCTCTCAACTAATGGTAGGATGATGGTTGATTGGTAGCCTACTCATGCGTAGTGGTGTTTGGGGCATATCTCAAGGAAGAAATCTCGCCATCCATGTGGTTTCCAAGTAGTTTTCACTATTTAGCTTGGTGATTGTACCTTGGAGTGATTGTAAACATTGTGATATAATAACGCGGTTCCAATAGCAGCCTTCATGGTTCGAGACTAAGGATAAATTTGGGCGTTGGAGATTTAATTTGAGACATGTGAATGCAAAATGATTATTGAATTAAAGGAAAACAGACTTAATACTGAGCTCTCAAGTAAGGGAAGATTATTGAGATGCACATGTGAGTTGTGTCACATCAGAGAATGAGTATGGTATATAGCAATTAATATATCCTAGTTAACTATAATTCGTTGATTTAAGCTTATGAATGAATGTGGGTCCAACTAAATAAGTTGACAAGCTTAAACTTGTGAATGTATTAGAGTTCTGTTGTGCGCTTTCAAGAAAAACAAGTTTTGGTAAGTTTCATCCCAACCATTTATCAATTTTTTTAGTGATATGTCGAGATTTTAGGAAGTAAATTGACACTTTCAGTTTATAACCACAAGCTTTGGGCAATTAATTGACTAAGCTGTTTACCGGCCCACGGGATGAAGATCTAACGACAATATAGGTATAGATCATGACATTTTGTAGGATCTCATCGTGGATCATCAATGTTTCATACGTTATAATTGGTCTATGATATCAATATACCGACCGCGATCCGACTGATTATAAGTGAGTATTTACATTAATGGGTCGCATTCCACATCTAAAAAGACCCTTCCTATAAACTGGGTTTCTAAACCCCCCTCATCTTTTTTAGGAAATTTTGTGTTTTGATGCCCCTTACCCTTATAGGTGGGCTCGGGTTTTATGAAAAGACATATCTGTTTCGAAAAAAAAAAATACTTTGCCATGTCAGTACACACCAATCATGTAGACCTGTGCTTCGAGTACACCCATAATGTCTTTCATCAATTGTCTCGGGAGCTAAATTAACAGAAGCAGTAGCTTTTTTAGTTCACTCTCCATCGGAATACATGCCAGGCCTGGGCTTCCTTTCCTATTAAGGGACTAATTGGTGATTAACATCGTGAAAGCTCACCTGCTCATGTATAATATTATGGTTCTATAAGACCATCTCAAACTAAAGTGGCTCGTCTATTCGGGGCTTTGTACTCGGACGTTGGCTCATGGGATTTGCACATAACGTGGGTATAAAGAATGTGGTGCTCTCGAGGTGGATTCGCAAGCGGTCGTTGCACTAGTTCCACCACGTACACTAGCGAGTTTGTCGGCGTAAGATGCCACGAGTTCAGATAGTTCATACTTATGGATAAGGAAAAACGCGAGCGCTGACTGATCGGCGAACCGGACGTTAGGAGGGGTGTTCTCGAGGATATTCAGAAGGAATTAACGCGCCGGAGGGGGTCTCGGCAATGTTACTTGGCGACCGAATCGACATCTCCTTGGCTAGAACAATAGGTTTTTGTTGCCAAACACAAGTTGATAAATGCGATCTCTTGAAAAGTTTGCCGGGCTTGATTGTAAAAGACTTCAATATTTTTGTACCGATTAAGATTGGATAGGAGCTTAAGTATACAAGCCTCCCGTCAGCCGGATGCATACAAGAACTTAATTGTTTCTATAAATTGCTTACCACATATCTAGAAGTCAAGTCGTTTTCGGTTGGCTCATGAATCATAATCCCTTTACATTAGTGAATTATACAACGAATCCGGTCAGAGTGGGGAGTCAATAAATTCTCATGATAGGATTCTTTATGTGTTCAGGAGGTAATCATCTGGCTGTTATTCAAATTGGCCGGTTTGACATGGTTTTTTATACAAGATTCGCTTTGAATTGAACTTCGAATAGAATAGAGAATGATTGACTCGGTCGTCCATACATCGAAATATCAAATTCCGCCATGATTGAATAGAAAAAGGCAGGACATTTCTATGAGTTTGTCTCGTTAAGTAGAGTTACGTCCACATGTAATTACAATTTATTGTTGTCTCCTGCCTCTCGTTGGCTTGAACTGATATAAACTTTGTTAGAATGTCCAATGTAAAAATTTAAACTGATAGGTCGATGGAACCCACATGTACATAAAGGACATATGAACCCCTAGTCAAGGGATGTGGACGCACGGACGAGATAAAACTGGAGTAGAACTCTGATACTATGTTGGAATTTCCAACCAAAAGCTTGAACTAATTAGCGGAGGGAGATTACATGTATATAAAAAGCATATAAAACTTTAATAAAATGATGTGCTGCTTGATTTATATGTGAGTTTTTGACTAGAAATTAAATAACACAAGGCTAACTTATGCTTACGGTATATGTGTTCGAACATTCATATACTAGAACCGTGTCTCCCTATATTAGCTTAACATTTTTAAAGCTCGTTCAGAACCTATTTGGTACATTTTTTAGCAGCAGCCACGATCGTGAAAAGGGGTGTTGCAGTTTTTACAAATCTTTGCTAAACTTTTGGCAGTTGCATCAATTTTTAGAAAGCTGCCTTAATCTGCTTTGAGGTGCTGCGGGTTTAAAGGATATTACTACGCAAAACACAAGTTATAACACTTCACAGCATAAACGCATAGTAACACAGTTGCAGAGCAACCGCAGCTATACCTTGTTGCTGCGTTCCGAAGCGATGTAATGTACATGTTCGTACTACATGCTTTAAAGTTGCAGAATCTTAAAACTTAGGCGAGGCATTCGTAAAATTTATCGTAAACCGCTGCAGTTTCAGAGGTACTATAGTTATGGGGGCGTTTATCAAACTGCTTATAAAAGTGACGACAGCTAAAAAACTACTGCAGAGGTACTCTACGAGACAACCTCTTTAGCGTATCGACAGCTGTTCTTCGCTCTCACTGGTACGAGAAGCGAACACGGTCTTAAATCTACCAGTATAAAATTAATCCCATCCCACGAATCAAGTGATAAAACTATGGTAGATCTCCTCGAAAGTTGGCTTATGGGTAGAACTAGGGGTGATCGGTTCCAGGGTGAGTAGTTTCCAGACTTGGAATCTGAAATCGACTCTGTTATAACCGGTTCCCAGTTTTTGGAACTTGAAACTTATCATGTTTGTCTTGAAACCTGTTTTAGAACATATCCTGTTTTTCTGGTCCGGTTTCAGGGTCTACCCAAGAACCTTTTTTTCTTTTGTTCCTTTTTGTGGTTTCATTTTTTCCAGCAAATAATATGAGTAGCAATGAAACAATTCAAAGTAAAATATGAATAATAAAAATTGCTATCCGTCTAAAGCAACAATCCCTAAGATGAGCAATAAAAATTACTATCCACCAAAAGTAATAATCCAAAATATAGTAATAATATGATCTACGATTTTTTTTAGTACAGGCTAAAAAATGGTTCAAAAACTGGTCCGGGTGGGTCCTCACTTGGAACCGAGAACTAGACCAGCTCCAACCGGTTCCAAAAAATGGAACCTGTTCTCGGACCAATTCAAACAAGAACCGGTTTCCGGACTTGTTTTTCGGGTGGTCCGGTCCGGTTACTAAGTAAACTCGGTCCAGTTGCACATCCCTAGGTAGAACCTATTACCTACTCAACTTTGTATCTATTTACTTTTAGTCCCCCCAAAAATTGTGATTTGCATCAACTTGCCCCGGACTTTTTTCCTCACTCCGGTTTCTATTAGAAATCAAACTGGAGAGGCACAAATGAAACTCAGGCCCCAAAGTCGAAGAGACGAGATGTGTCTTGAGGACTCCTCCCCCATTTCAGTCCTACTTCACCAGAGCATTCAACTTTCTCCTCCTCCAACTTGAAGCGTTGGCGACCTTGGAACGTGGACGGTTTCGGATGGGTCAACTCGACGAAGTTGAATTTCGTGGGCATTTTCCTGAATTTCAACAGTCTAAGATCTGATACCCAATATTTTCTCGTAGATGTGTAGAACACCACACACTCTTCCAGTTTTGTCAGAAGAATCAAAGCTCTGAAACTCGAGAAAATCTCCAAGTCAAACTTATCAGACAACCCACCATCCAAGAACCTGTAATACTTCAGTCCCTCCCTCTTTCTCTCTCTCTCTCTCTCTCTCTCTACGCATGATATCACCATCTTCGACAAATCTCCACCACCCCATCGATCCACAATGACCAGAACCAGAACCAGAACCGCCCTCACGCCTCCTCCCTCTCCTCTCCCATTCAACACAAACCTCTTACTGCTGTTGCTCTTCTCTCTCTCCTTATC